AAAATTAATTTTAAAAAAACTCAAGTTAACCTGACAAATAGTAAAACTTATGACCTAAGTCATGAGACCTTGATAATCCCATAAAAATTAGATCGAAACATAATTATGAATCTCAATTCTCAATCAACCTCATTTTGAATGGTAAGGTTGAGAAAAAATATTAACTAGAAAAGAACATATAAATGACTCGAGCCAACATGATTAACCACAAAACTTGCGATCCAAATAATGAGAAATCATTTTTCTTCTTAAATCACCATTTTAGCATTAAATCACAGTAAATTATTTTTATTTTTTGCTTTTGTTTTAATAGTTTATATAAAAGAAAATCTTTTTATATTTTAGCACTAAGTTATTGTTCAGGACATTCTAAACTATTGCCTGCATTATGTTGCAATCCGATTAGAAATTTTTAGTATATAAAAAATATTCAGGTGTTGTTAATGTGTTTTTTAGCAGAAAAAAATCAAGATGATAATTTTTAAAATATTAAAATGATAACATATTGGATCGATGCAAATCAACTCAAGTTAACTTGTTAAATCTATTACTTGGGTCATAAGATTTTGATAACCCTGCAGAAAGCAAATCAAAAAAATTATTAAATCTAATTTTCAATTAACTCAATATTGAAAGATGGAATTAAAAAAAAAATCAATTAAAAAAAATAAGTTTATTAAACTTGAGTTAACTTGTTAAACTTGAATAATGAGACTAGGATAATCCCATAAAAAGCAAATATAAAAAATTATGAAATTCAATTATTAATCAATCCAACATTAAAAAATAAAACTAAAAAAAATTAAGAAAACAGAGAAATCCACTTGAGTCAATTGATTAAACTCGTGATCTAGATTATGAGATCAAGATAACCTTTTAGAAAACAAATCAAAACAAATTATAAACCTAATTCTCAATCAACTTAACATTGAAAGATAATTTTTTTTAAAACAATTCAACTAAAAAGGATAAAAAACCCGAGTCAACCATCCTAAATCACAACCCATGTCATACAAATGGAAAAATTATGAAGCTTTATCCCGAACTAATTAGACAACGAAAGATGAAACTGAAAAAAAAATCACATAAAAAATTGTAATTAAAAGAATTAAGGTGGAAATTAAAATAAAAAATAAATTAAAGGGCATAAAAGAATTAAATTGGAGGGTTAATTTGAAAAAAAAATTGAAAAAAGAAAAAATGAAATAAAAATAACAAGGGCTAAGTTGGAAAAATAAAAAAATAAACTTTGATTGAATGACGAGCTTGAAAACCAATAAAACTTTAACAAAAAAAGCTAAAGAAAAAAATCAAAAATCAAAAGAATAAGGAGTGGATTGAAAAAAATAATATATGATAAATTATAATTTAAGGGCTAAATTGAAAAATATATAATTTTTTTTTCTAAAAAGGCCAAGGATGAAAATAATCAATAAAAACATAAGGACTGAAATTCAAAAATGAAAGAAAAAGAGGACAAACATGCATTTTTCATGGAAAAGAGAGAAAGTAAGAAAGAAAAAAAAACATTTACAGGTGACAAATCACTCCTCATCCTCTATCAAGCATCACACCATGAAGAAGAGGATCTAGTGGCGCTTCCAAGAACATGATGAAAGACTAGGTTTATTTATCGGGTGGCGTCACATGCATCGTCTAAAGATTATGAATGTTACTAACATGTTGGTGCATAATGAGTACATGCAATAACTTTTTAAAAGAAAAAAATTAAAACTCAACATAAAATGACTAAAACACCTCTTATAACCAAGGAAATTACAAATAAACCTATATAAAATAACAAAAACACCCTTAAATGGATAACTTTTTTTATATCTATTTTAATGGCAAATATATATTTTAACTATAGCCTAAGAACAAAAAACCTCTTATGCAACAACTCTAATTTTTTTTGACCTTGAGGATAAAGAAATATTTTTAATATTTCAAAGATTGTGAAAAGATGAAAAAACCTTTGATTAATAGTTTTATGTTTTGTTGACTTTAGAAATAAAAATGTAATTTTATTGTGTAAAAATTCAAAAAAAAAATTATATACCTACGAATAATCTTTTAATGGTCAATGAACTATTAGAAAAGATTAAATTACCCCACAAAAAAAAAATCTATATTTTTTACACTAAAATAAAAATAGTAATTATATTATAGTAATTTACAAGTAATTTATGTTTACTCTTACACTTAAATGACCATGCCCTGTAGAGTTCTATTAATTGGAACACAAAGAAGGTGTTTTTTTTTTCTTTTCATTTATTTTTTTCTTTCAATTTTTTTATTTCTAGCTATCTTAATTATTTTTGGACTGATCAAATTAATTGAGGCTCACAAGCCAACTTGTACAAAGTTTAATTTTAAACATGGAATAGATAAGAAGATGAGTTGGTAAGTTTTTTTCCTATAAATTTTGTTTTCTTTTCTCAATTTCATTCTCAAATTTTTTTTATGGGTCAATCGAGTTGCTTTTTGACGATCAAGTCAATTGAATTTTGCTAAGATAATTTTTACATGATTTAATTTTAAACTCGAGCTAAACAATAAATTGAGTCTGAAAGATTTTTTTTTATCAATCTTATCCTCATAATATTTTACTGATCGATCAAATTATTTTTAAATCAAATAAATTGACTAAATCATATTAATATAATTTTTATATAATTTAATTTTAAATATAACTTAGAAAAAAAATCATATTAATAAGTTTTAAAAATGATTCATCAAGTCAGATTTAGAGAACATTTGTACTGTATTTCTAAAATATTTAAATTTTTTTATATATTTTAGATCATTTAATGTGTTAATCTTAAAATTAATTTTTTTAAAAATAAAAAAAATATTATTGTGATATATTTTAATATTATTGTGATATATTTTAATATAAAAAATATTAATATTATTGTGATATATTTTAATATAAAAAATACCTGAAAAAAATTAAGATGATGTAACTATACCATTAATAACTATGCTCTCAAGAGGGCTTGAACTTCTTTCATTATATTAAAAAATTAATTAATTTAACTGTAGTGCGATCATGTAAGAATAAATTAAGTTTTCTTAAAAAAAACAAAGGGACAGGTAAGGGCGAAGGTTTCATTTAGGAAACGGTACGTCGTTGGTGTCTGAAGTTCAGAAGTAAAAAGAGAAAATAGGGTTTAAGGATTTGCTTGGAGAGAGAGGGAGAGGATGAAGTCTGTGGTGGGGATGGTGGTGTCGAACAAGATGCAGAAGTCAGTGGTGGTGGCGGTGGACAGGCTGTTCCACCACAAACTCTACAATCGATACGTCAAGCGGACCTCCAAGTTCATGGCTCACGACGAAAACAACCTCTGCAATATCGGCGATCGAGTCAGTACCCTCTACCTCTCCTTCTTGCTCTTCTTTTTTCCTTCTTCATCTTCTTATTATTATTATGATGATGAGTAACTGATTGATTACTCAAACAAGTAAAGAAAATAAATTCAACGACATGAAAAAAAAAACAGAGAAATTTTTTAAAGTTTTCGAATCTGTGGAATTGGGTGGGCTTTCAGGTTAGATTGGATCCTTCGAGGCCGTTAAGCAAACGGAAAAATTGGGTTGTTGCTGAAATTCTCAAGAAAGCAAGGATATATGTGCCACCATCAGCAGCAGATAATGCTGCTTCGAAAACTAAAGGGGCGGAAGCACCAACTTCTTCGACCTCCTAAGGAAAGGTTTGTGTGAACAATTCAATCTTCATTCTGTATTGTGTTTCTGTACAAACAAAAGGTGAAGTGGACTGAGCGAGGAGTATCGTATATGTCATGTTATGTACATTTAACTTTGTACTTAACCTACAAGGTCAAAAGTTTCATGTTCTTGAATTAAGTTGGATCTTCATCGTATTGTGAGAATTCCTGCATGTTTAAGACTTCGATCATAGGTTGCTGACTGGGGCTTAACATTTTGTTCTGCTAGCATTATTGTGATTCTAATCGTGGTGGATATACTTCTCTGATCAATGCTGTTTTTATTCAAATTCTCATAGATTATGGGATGGCTTTTGAAAACAAAAATTGTGAAGGAATGATTAGTGAGCTAACAACTTTGTGTTGCGATTGAGATGCTGTCAGTCTGACTCTTATTGACTAGTATGGCTGGTTAGTAGTGGCAAGCGAGAGCAGATTGGGGTGTCCCCCCTCTCCTCTCAAGAAAAATAAAGTGGTTTCAGACTTCAGAAACATGATAAGGGTACAGAAGAGAATGACAACGTGTCTTTGGTAGTGTTGTGTTTTGCTAGATGCTAGTTTAGTATGGAGAAGACATGTAACTTCTACTCTAGTCTTTAATACTCTCTTAAATAACTTCCTGGGTAGTGATTGTTGGAACTCAGAGTTACACTGTGCCATGTAAACATGTTTCGAGACTTGTAAGTACCGGAATATAATTTTGAACAGTTTTATGTTAGCATAGTGCTGGAACTGTGGGAGCACATAAAGGAAAATTAATATTAACCAAAATGGAGTTATCCTGGTTCACCAGGTGTAAGCTTGATGTTGCCTTTTCTCTATGACAGGTGATAGTTTGATATAGACATTGTGACAGTTTACTCAAGGCATCTGAAAGACTGAGAAGTCTTGGATTGGGATAAGAAACTCCAACAATTGCTTAGAATGAAGGCTGATAGCTGAAATTAAGTTTTCTGTCTGTGTTTGAATTTTGAATTCTGGATGCGTTATAGACAGATGAACCCTTATGGTTACTGAAACATAACAAGAGGAGGCATTTATGTCCTGTTTTGTATTTTGTTTCATCTTGGTTTTTTTGGTAAATCATATCTTCTTTAATTAACAGAAATTCCATATTGGTGAGCTTGATATTCTGTCTAATGAATGATAATCTTTACTCATAGAAAGTTGTCTGTTTTTTTTCCTTAATGGGAAGGTTCAGGTTGTTTATTTAAGAATGTCCACGTGACAAATGCATTACATTTGTGTCTTGCCAATTGCTGTTCTTTGCAAATGGAAACTCCAAGTCTATGGCAAGCTGACAACGTGACAGTATCTCCACTGCCACATGCATTTTGTAACATCGCATGCCATTATCATGTTAGCTCCACCTGCTCCCCTAGGCTTGAGCTGCATCACTTATCTTGTTCACATCTAAGTTGCATGATTTGCAGTTACCTGCATTTACCCTTAAACATTCAATTGTTGAACACCTCCTCCTCATGGATCCCTGTCAGTCCTCTGCTCCTCCTAAGAAATTTCCTCGAGGGAGAAATTCAGGAATTTACAGGGGTGTCAGAATGAGGACATGGGGCAAATGGGTTTCTGAAATAAGGGTTCCGAAGACTGGACAAAGGATATGGCTGGGTTCTTATGATGCCCCAGAGAAAGCAGCTCGAGCATGTGATGCTATCCAGTATTGTATTCGTGGTGAATGTGGGCAATTCAATTTTCCTGCTGAAAGAAGGCCACAACTTCCTAGTGGTCCAGTAGATGCATTGTTCAAGAAGGAAATAAAGGCTATTGCCTTTAACTTTGCTTCGTCAAATGCATAAGTGTCCCTCTGTGATAACTCCGGTGGAAATGGTTGAGCCATCCTTGCCCAATTTGCAGGTTTTAAGTGCCACTGGAAATGCAGGTAACGTGGAGGGTTATGCTCCAGCTAGTGCGTCAGTACCAGATTTATGTTCAATAGACAATTTACAATTGGATGATTTACTCATGCTGGACATAGAATGGATAGACTCCCTCTAGGTACAACGTATTTCAAGGTTTTGTTGCAGTAATAGACATGAACTGTTTGTTATTTATTCAGTGTGAGCATCTTTGTTGGAAACTGTTGCCAGGTAATGAGATCCCCGTTGAGGGGGGAGTGCTTAGAATGTTTGCAAACAACAAATTTTCATCTTTGGTAATCGCATTTAGTATTTGAAGTGCATGCATGCACGTATGGAAGGACAACACAAATTGATCGACACAATATTTAGTTTCACACTATGCTGTTGATCCGTGCTTTGTTGTGGGTTGTATCATTTTATTTCAACACAAGAAAATGAATGTACAGGTGTTGTCAATATATTTTTTTGACATCAAGAAAATAATTTAATTGTTAATCAAGAATCATATGTTAATAAATATTAAAAAAAAGTTAATGCGATGTGGTGCGTAGAATTGTAAGTTAATTTTTAACATAGTAGAAGAAGAAGAATGCGCTGTTGTTGTATTACAGTTGCAATCTCACCAGGTTAATTTTTAAATATTTTTTTAAGTAGGAAAACGTAAAGATGTTTACGATTGAATGAAATAAAGTTAAAAATACATGAATCCATAAATTGAGAAAGACTTATCAAAGTTATTGAATACTAAAATAAAAGGCTATATATATAGTTATTAATTTTTTTAATAATATATGTGAGATATTATTTTATTGAATACCATTCAATTTTTACTCTATTTTTTAATAATATTATAACATTCTTTTTACAACATTTGCAAGTTTTTTTTTGTGCAACTTGTCACGATCTTCTTCTTCTTTTTAATTTTCATTTGGTGTTTTTCATATATGTATGTATTTTTATCATTATATAATTAAATAAAAAATAATTTTTAAAAAATAAAATTATTAAATTTAATTAGATTATTGATCTAAGTTATGAATTTAAAAATATAGCTCGAATTGATTTAATTAGATCATTGATGAATTTAAAAATATAGCTCGAATTGATTTAAGATGTTGTTGCTTTAATATTAAAAATATAATATTTAAAATTTTTTTAAGTTAAAATAAGTTTTGACTACTCATCTAAATTGCTTTTAAACTTGATAAAAAAATTATTATCATTTAATTTAATAAAAATAATGTAATGGCCCTTGCGACATAAGATTTATTTCTCAACTTCACAACTTAATTTTTAGTTACTCTTTATAATATTTATCAAAACATATAATTCTCAATCTCAAAATTTAATTTCCTAAAGGACACAATTTTTTATAAATTTGATTTGATACATTCAAAAAAATAATCTACTCTGGAGTATGCCGTGAGAAGCTTTATTGTTTTTTTATATTTTCATTTTAATAATAAAATCAAAGCTTTTCTTCTTGTTTTACGTGGACAAAATAATCTTTAGAAAGTAGAAGCACTGAGTTTTGTAGGAAAATTAAGTGCCTGAAATTTGAGCAATTATCTGAACTACGCTCGTTGAATCATGTAAGCTCCTTGTGACTGGTCTCTCTGTTTCCCTCTCTTCAAGGCAGCAAAGCAAAAACATCTATACATTACTTTGAGTAATGTAATTTAATTAGTTAGATTTAAAATTTTATAAAAAAAGTGAATAAAATTAATTGAAGTAGTACAAGCTAATTTGAATACCTGTATTAATTAAAACAAAAAAACAAAAAAAATCTATCCCAAGCACCAGTTCTCGGGTTATAGAAATCCGCTGTTCACTCGCTTTCATGCACAAGAGCCTGCCTATTTCTGTTAGCTTCTCCTGAGTGGTATTAGCCATCACGTAACTCCATGCTTTATTATATTATTTCCTACTACAGCTATAAATCCTTTCTGTGGCAGCCCTCCTTCTTCACACCCCTTTCACCTCCGATGCTGTCTGGGCTTACGTTGTTTCTCCTATAACCCTCTTGGTCTCTCCAGCGTTACTTGGTTTCATAAAACTGCTTCCGATGGCAGGAGAGCAGGAGTTGTTATCCACTGAAATTGTGAACCGGGGCATAGAGAATTCTGGGCCATATGCTGGATCTTTGAACTTCTCTGTGAGGGTTCGACGAGGGTTGCCGGATTTCCTCAACTCGGTTAACTTGAAATATGTCAAGCTCGGATATTCCTATCTCCTTAGCCCTGTCTTTTATTTCCTAACAGCACCAGTTCTCATGGTGATCTTCAGTGCTCAGATTGGAAAGCTCTTCATCTGGCAAGATTTCTGTCCAAAATGTGACCCCATTGATGCACTTTTCATTGTGGGATTGTTGAGTTTAATCATATACATTTATCTTTATTTAAGCCCTCGGTCTACTTATTTAGTCGACTTTGCTTGTTATCGTCCACCAAATGAACTCAAGGTAATTAACTTGTGTTCTTCAAATCTTATAAAAAAAAAAAACCTGTGTTCTAAATAGATCATTCTATCAATTGTTGTAAATCAAGTATCATAATCTTGCCACCAAAAACAATGTGGATTCACACACAGAATAACAGTAATTTCTTGTTATGTTGTGTACAGATTTCAAAGGATGAATTCATCGAGTTGGCGAAGAAATCTGGCAAATTTAATGGTGCCGCCATAGAGTTTCAGCGCCGAGCTCTCAAGAATTCTGGCATTGGAGATGAGACCTACATGCCTAGAATAGTTTTTCAACCTGGGCACAAGATAACACTAAAGGATGGCCGTGAAGAGGCAGCAATGGTCATGTTTGGAGCAGTAGATGACCTTCTTGCCGCCACAAAAATAAGGCCCAAGGACATAAAAATTCTTATTGTCAACTGTGGGATCCTAAATACTACCCCATCACTCTCATCAATGGTAATAAATCACTACAAGCTTAGGCATGATATTCAAAACTTCAATCTCGGTGGCATGGGATGTGCTGCTGGCATTATAGCTATTGATCTAGCTAAAGACCTTCTGAATGCATATCCTGGATGCTATGCACTGGTGGTGAGCACAGAAGCTGTGAGCTATACATGGTACAGTGGCAATGATATGAATATGCTCCTTCCTAATTGTTTCTTCAGACTTGGCGCAGCAGCCATGCTTCTATCCAGTTGCCGCCTTGACCGATGGCAATCTAAGTATGAACTGAAGCAGGTACTACCTCTATATTTTTCCTATTCCTTCAGATATTTCTTTTGACTAATCGCAATCTCAAGTCCCTATACATGTGTTGTCCCTATAGTTTTGTGCTAGCAGTGAAATTATATTATCATACTTGTCAAAGCAGAGCACTATTAACATTTCAAATTTGCTATGCAGCTAGTTCGAACTCACAAAGGCATGGACAACAGAAGCTTCAAAAGCATACATCTAAGGGAAGATGCAGAACGAAAGCAAGGTCTGTCAGTTAGCAAGGATCTGGTTGAGGTGGGAGGCCATGCACTCAAGGCCAACATCACCACTCTAGGCCCTTTAGTCCTTCCTGTGTCTGAACAAGTTCATTTTTTCACTAATTTGCTCTTCAAGAAGAAAAACAGACCATACATTCCAAACTACAAGCTTGCTTTTGAGCATGTGTGCATCCTAGCAACTAGCAAAAAGGTGCTAGATGAAATACAGAAGAACTTGGAGCTTACAGAGGAATACATGGAGGCATCAAAGAAAACTTTGGAGCGATTTGGGAACACTTCGAGTAGCAGTGTCTGGTATGAACTCGCTTACTTGGAGACAAATACAAGGATCAAACAAGGTGATAGGATCTGGCAACTTGCTTTTGGTTCAGGGTTCAAGTGCAACAGTGTTGTTTGGAAGGCGCTTGGGAATGTTGGGAAGCCCAAGCAGAGTCCTTGGATTCAGGATTCTAACTAAAGGAAATAGTAGGAGAGGTGGGAGTGAAAGAATATTATAGGTTTATATATGGAAATTGTTTAGGTTTTTTTTATGTATTTTCAGGAACCGTGGCTTAATGCCATTAGTACAATCTCAACAATGCATCTCAGGAAAATTTCCTAAAAATGCATTAACTGCCACCGGTCTCCAAATCACTTATTAGATTAAGAGTGTGTTTGTTTAAGAGTTGTGCCGGGCAGCTCATCTCACAAACAAACACACTCTAAATCGAGTGGGTGGGAAACCACTTCCAGAAATCTAGTCTATTATTAATTAGAGCATAGAACACAACTGACTGAATATAATTATGATGCATTCACCTTAGAGGGTTAATATTCGAGTTCCAAGCAGTGATAGTCAAACATCTTTCTAGGTCAATACAACGTTTTAGAAGTAGCTTTGCGTTCTCAAAGACGAAAACATTAAATACAAAATTTAAAATAGAACACAAGTTAGAAAATGTTACTACTTATCACAGGTGCCCATTGGATTTGCATTCTTGATTATCCATGGGTGCTCCAAGATCTTCTGAAGAGACAACCTCTTTGAAGAGTCCTTGACCAAAAGCTGCAAAAAAGAAATTACCCAGATCACATATTGAACCCCACAGTTATGCAATTCCATGTTGAGACAATACTAGTAAGGCAATACCGTTACTCTTAAAGAAAAACTTACCCGGGTGATGAGGTTCTTTGCTTCTGCAGAGACAGGAGGAGTGGAAGGAAAAGTAAGATCAACCTTCACAATCCTGCATCACAAAATTCACTTTCCACATAAATCCCAGTTCAATTCTCTACACAAATCAGACCAAATAACCCATTAAAACACAACCCTTCCCACCTTCTGAACGTATCACGCTGACTCTCAGCCTCAAAGGGAGGAGCCCCATAGAGGAACTCATAACAAAGAATTCCCAAAGTCCAGTTATCAACAGCGTAATCATGAGCCTTATTCTCCACCATTTCCGGTGCCAAGTAATCCAAAGTTCCACACAT